ATAGATAATTGGAGTTTTAATAAAAAAATTAGTTTTTTATTTTTTTAAAAGGATTTTTATAGTGGTACTGTGGGATAATGCATTGGATCTCAAGGTCAGTTTGAACTGCAAGGTCAGTGATTCAAATTCACCAGCTGCTCCTAGGAAACCCTACATAGGGTTTCTATGAGTTGGAACTGACTTGAAGGCACTTACCAATAACAACAAGTGCTTAAATAGAATTATTTCTGAGCTATCAGATTGGTGTCATTGCTAGCTGTCCTGAAGTCCATACTGACTCACAGTGACTCTGTGTGTGCAGAGGAGAGCTGCTCCACCGGGTTGTCAAGACAGGGACTTGTCAGAAGCAAACTGTTATTGTTAAGTGCTGTCGAGTTGGTTCTAACCCATAGCAACCCTGTATAGGATTTCCAAGGTGCGACTGGTGAGCTTGAATCACTGGACTTGTAGTTCAGACAGCTTTGCAGTCTGGCGCATTAACCCACACTGTCACACCAGGACTCCCAGAGCCAGATCTTAATTCTGAGGCTTCTCTGGATGGGCATGAACTACCAACCTGTTGGTAAGAAGTCCAACACTTAACCGTTTGTTAAGATGCCTGCACAATCTTAAAAAAGAAAGAAAAAAAATAGCTTCACTGTCTTCTATTATTAATGTAAAACATGTTAGGGCCAAAGAAAGCAGGAGATAAGAATTGGATAAAAACATGGTAAACTTTATCACAATGATCCCAGCAGAGAGAAACATTGTTTGTGTATGGCTTTTCAGTTTGATTCAAATTCTACTTCCTAGAATAGACACTGAATAAGACTAATGATGGATAAAGTAATTCAGACTACTGGGGCCAAGCTCATTGTGAGCAGAATTTAATATAAGAACTTTGGCCTACTTTACAGAAAGAAACTTGCCAAAGAAGACATTTTATTGCTGTATTACAATAATTATAAATTAACTGGCAATTTCCTCCACTTGGTGCTTTACTAAATAATTTTAATTTAATTTTTATAATTAATAATTATTTTAAAACATATGAAAACCACAGCTGGAAATGACTTTCTATTTTGTAACACATAATTATTTAGCATTTCCTTTGTCTTTGAAGTAAACATGAAAGGGAAAGTGAGTAACTGTAAGCAGTAAAAATGAAGCAGTCCTTCAACTTTTAATTCTCTTTACGTGAAACCCCAAGTATCAGGGACAATAAGTTTTTATTTATTCTGTCAGCAAATATTTAAGGAAGACTAATTATGTGTGGCATATTCAAGGTAGATCTCTCAGTATCTATCAAATATGATATGGGCTCTGGGTGCATAGAGCTCACAATATTACAGTGTGTTAAGTGCTGTGGAGTCAGTTCCAACCCATAGTGACCTGGTATAGGGTTTTTGAGTAGCAACTGGTGGGCTTGAACCTCTGACCTTGGGGTTCAAACCGACCTTACAGTCCAGTGCATTAACCCACAGTGCCACACCAGGACTCCATTTTAGAGTTTAGTGAGATACTTTTTTCTCCTTTAACTTCAGAAGAGAAATTCTACCCCTTTTACAGCTTTGGCTCCATTCTCACTTTTCTGTGAACTCCTCTTGCTCTGTTCTAGTACATGCAAGTCTATATCCATTCTCTAGCATTCCAGAATTCCTAGAGATAGTGCCATTATTATTCATTTGGCCCTAAGTCATGAGGAACTGATATAAATATAGAAAATGATTTTCTCCTAAATCCTTGACGACAAAGACCATACTATATTATTGGGGGGTGGGGGTGGGCAAGGATTTTTGGATATCAAGTAATACTAAGCAAGGAATCTAAGAAATTCCCAATAAAAGCATTCAAATAGAACTGAGAAAGTTATTCATTGGACACTGGATACTTGACTGTACCAAAAGGGATGCAAATGAAACCTTCTCTTGGATGGACTTTAGCGTTAGAGGGCTCACAATACTGGTGCAAATAAGAGGACCTAGAGAGAATTTCCTAATGAAATTCAATGGAACACTCTTCTTTTTACTTATTATTTTAAAGGCAACATTTCCTAAAGGTGTTGTATTCTTTAAATGCCCCTTGATGACTAAAACAACAACCTAATCAGTTTTCCAATCCAAATAATGATTAAATTAAGGTTTGGTTACACAGAAAATTTGCAAAGGGGAGAAAATGTTTGCTTGATGTTGCCATGACTGCATTTCCCACTGATTTAAAGTTGTGAGGAACTAGAATGCAGGTAGACTGTTAAAACAGGGAAGTCATTTTGTGAATCCAATCTGTACTTTGGCATTTTGAAAGAAGCCTGTGGCAGTTGTTATTTGCAGGTTTCTTTGGAAGCACTTTAAAAATCAATTTGTATGATTTATAAGACATACTTTGAACAGGCATCTTGATAAAGTATGGCATAGTATGTTGCTTAAAGGAAAACAAGCTGTAAGAAAGATTCACTAGAAAAATGAAGATTTATATTGATAGAACTAGGCTACATTTATTGTAACCTTTACAGCTTGAAGCCATTCTGGCTAAAGGTTATTTCAATGGCTGTCTTCACCATCAAGAGTTCCAAGCATTTAAACTATGGTCTAACCATCTAATCATCTGTAGAATTGTTTGAGATGGCATGTTTCCCTAATGGATAAACAGCCAGTGACATTTATGTCATGCCTCAGGAGATGGTGAAGGGCATGGAGTTTAAGACCTAAGGAAAGCAGCTATCACATAACTGGAAGACTACCACGACAAAGTTACCATGTGATGCTGTAGAAGAAGCACTGAACTGCAAACTGGAAGGTCAGCCATTCAAACTCACCAGGTGTTCCTCAGAAACCCTACATGAGGTCACTGTAAGTGGGACCACCTTGATGGTACTAAACGACAACAATATCAACAATATGGAGTAGAATTTGTTAATCAAATCCTGCTATCTCAAATGTTGTCTTTCTTTTTTGCACATTAAATGAGTCTTGGCTACAAAGATTATGATGAAATACTATTTCAAATTAACTCCTTCAGTCGTGAATAAATGGTATTCATCATGTGAATAAATGCAATGCTGGTATTCATCAACGTGAAGGGTGGAGTGCCTAGGTGGTGTAAAGAGATAATGCACTTGGCTGTTAACAGAAAGTTTGGAGGTTCAAGTTCTTCCTTCAGAAGAAGAGCCTGGTACCCTACTTCTGAAAAACCAGCCATGGAAGGCATCATGGGGCACAGTTGGACTCTGATACACATGGGGTTGCCATGAGTCAGAATCAATTTAATGGCAACTGATTAGAGATAGAGAGATCTCTAATGGCACTAAAACCAACCCCATCAGCTCCTTCACTCTCTATTGGGGTAGACACCCAACTCAACAAATGTCTGTTGAGCGCTTGCTATGAGTCAGATCCCCTTGTCACTGGAGACAGAGGACTATCTTCTGTTCTTAAGGTATTCACATTTTAGAGTCTTCTTCTGCAGAAATGTCCATTCATTAAACAGATGCTTTTTATTTACCACCTACTATGTACACAAGGAGCTCTGGTAGCGTAGTGGTTACGAATCGGGCTGCGAACCTTAAGGTCAGCGGTTCGAAACTACCAGCCGCTCCGCGGGAGAAAGATGAGGCTTTCTAATCCCGTAAAGATTTACACCCTCGGAAACCCTGTACAGGGTCGCTATGGGTCGGACCCGACTCGATGGCACTTAACAACAACAACAACAATGTACCAAATGAACTCATTTTCTGCTTTATTATGGATATTTTTGGAATCAGTTATCCTATTATTAGACATGTCTACTAATATTAAGACATAGAAAAGCTTCCTAAAACTGTTTGGAGAGAGGGCATGTGCCTTTGATGTTACCATTGTCCATGAGTTTCCTTCTCCTTTTTGTAGCCATGTTTGGGCTAGCTGAGTTGAAGAAAACATTTTGTTTTCCTTTAAATTTTCCATAACTTAATTGAAAATCCTAATTTTAAAGCCTGGCATAAATGACAGTAATTTACCAAAACATACAGGGCAGATTATGTTTTATTTATTCTTGTACAGATGTGTAACTAGCTACCATTAATGTTAACATCTAAGATGTCACAAATAAGATACAATACTCAGTTTTGAAAACAAATGTAGAGTGATTCACTTTAAGAAAGAATCACTCAAAAAATGTCAAAAGAGCCCTTCATACCATGTGCACAGAAGCTCTGCCTCAATGGCAGCATATACCCTCATCCTCAGATGTTGAATACTCTTCTCTGCTAGCCTGTGAATCCTCCCTCCAAAATTAATTACATTTCTTAAAGAGAAATCTATGATATTCTGTTGGTGTTGTGTTGTATGTACAAGTTCTAGCACAGAGTAGTGAGCTTCTATAATTTTAATTAACCAAAAACAATCTATCTACAGATTCGCTAACAACAAAAAAAATCAACCATATCGTAAGTTTCATTTTAGTTGTCTCATTGAGCCTCAGTGTAATCACAGCAACAGATGTTTAAACAAACCAAAGAGCAAGGCATGACTAATGTAATTTATGACATGCCACCAAGGCTCAGAACTTACAGTGATGAGGTCCAAATATGAGCTGTGCAGTGGAAAAGGGGGTGGGGGGAGGGGAGAAATCCACAGCAAGGACATAGAAAAGGCACATTCGTTTTAATGACAATGTTCATGCAACAGGAGACAATACAGTCTGTTGATCATGGTCTATTTCTGTAGATTAAATGTCTCCTCCTTGCTTCTTAAATCTTAACTAATTGTTTTTAATAGTATCCACTGATGAACAATAGCATGTGCCAAGTAAGAATACAAGTGAACTAAAGAAAATGCTGATTAATTAGGGGTAGCAAAGCTTCATTTTCCTTGGACAACAATCATCTATTTTTTACTATAGGTGGCTTGTTGGTAATTATGAAAAACAAAACAAAACAAAAAATACTATTGATGGCAACTCTACTATCATAAGTAACCAGACATGTAGGAACACATTTACATAGAAACCGTATCAGAGCATTGTAAGTTTGGGTTCATACTGACCTTCAGGTTGGTATTGTGCTATAATAGTCACCGTCTGCCCAGCCCCCTTCAATGCGGCTGCAGCCTGCTCGTGAGATGCACCGCGGAGGTCAATGCCATTCACCTGAAAATAGGAAGCCAGAGAATGGTGGTCTTTCAGAAGGCATAGAATCAGGAAAAAAAAAAAAAAAAAACTTCCCTGAGTTGAGAGGCTGTGGAAGGTTCTAGCACCAGCCTCAAGCTTCTCATGCCCTATCCAAATGTTTGGCAGTTAACTTAAAAAGTTACATTTTCCTTTTTAAGTTTTAGTTAGCAAAGGCATGTGAGTTCATCTGGTGGTGTTTGTGCATAGCCTGACCAAGTGGGAAGCTGTGGTTTACCCATGTTCACTAGGATTTTAGTTTGTTCAGTGAATTTTCCTCTGTGGGTTTCCTAGACTGCTGATGTAAACAGGAAGTTTGAAAATAAAAAGGAAAACAGAATAATAAAGAGAGAGCCATGTAATGTATGCAGACAAAGGTGCTGACAGAATAATATCTTCAAGTGACATTATAAAGAGACTGCATGGGATGGGACTCACTGTTTGCCAAATTTTTCTCTTTGGTCAGTTGCATGGTCCTGTCATCTTGAACTTGGTTGTTGTTGTTAAGTGCTGTTGAGTTGGTTCTGACCCATACTGACCCTGTATAGGGTTTCAGAGGAGCAGTTGGAGAGCTTGAACCACTGACCTTGCAGCTCGAACGGCTTTGCAGTCTGGCACATTATCCTACAGTGTCACACCTGAACATGGTTTGTTGTTGTAAAGTGCTATCGAGTCAATTCCAACCTATAGTGACCCTGTATAGGGTTTCTGAGGAGCAGCTGATGAATTTGAACCACTGACCCTGCAGTTCAAATGGCTTTGCAGTCTGGCATGGTTAGACAGCCCTAAATCTTGTTCCAAAATAAACCGGACTGTTCTATTTCTCATGTCCAATTCCAGAATGAATGCTGACAAAATGAAATAAAGAATATCTGGAGTTTATCTTGTTATTGCTAACTCCCAATTTGGAGCCTATGTTAAAAGGAAAACAGAGCCTCAAAATACCGACAGAGAGCCAAGGAGTCTTCACATCAAGTATCAATGCTAATCCCTCTGTATACAGGGTAGATAGGGATGGGCAATTTAGACATTGGCTACCTAAAATTAGGGGCAATAAAGGCTTGAAGTGACCGGCTTATACATTTTCAAGAGGGAGTATAGTTTAAAAGTTTGTGGGGGAAGATAAGGTCCCCACTGAATAGTTTTCATCATGTCTACATGGGTCTGGTGAAAAGAGATGGGGATAAGATTCTTATGATTCAATAGTGAGTAATTGTTATCATGATTAATTGTGACTGTCACAAGTGTAAAAGTAGCAGTTTTGTAATAAAAACGGGGGAGTAAGCTTACACCAGAAACAGAGGACCATCAAGGGAGAAGATCACAAGTGGAATGCAGGATCTTATCCAGAGAAGCAGTGACACCAGAGATGGAGGCAGAAATGGGGACATGGAGAAAGGGAGCAGCTGAGGACTCTAGATTCATCGAATTAGAGGGACTGAGAGCTGGTAACCAGGAGGCAGGCTGGAAGAATGGGCCCTTTGGTGGCTTAAATTATTATAGATGCCTGAGTGTTAAAATAACAAAACAAAAACAAAGCTAAAATGAATAAAGAGAAATACTGTTAACTGATGGTATGTTGAGGGGATCATAATCATTGTAATGAAATGAAGTATATGATTTGTTGAATGTGAAACTGTAATCTTTCACTCAACTCACAATAAAAACCTTAAAAAAAAAAAAAAAAGCAAATGTGTACATCCCAAAAAACAGAGGGAACAGAAGCAAATATTGTTGAATAATGATGCACGGAGGAGATTGTAATCATTGCAATGAAATGATGAGTGTAAAACTGATGTTTTCCCAAGTAAACCATTACTCAAGTCACAATAAAAACTTGATGAAAAAACAAAACAAAAGAAAAATAGAACATCTGAAAAGAAACACCAAAGTTTTCCAAGAAAACAAAAATCATTCATAAATAAAATCAAATGAGAAGCCACAGCTAAATATTTCTTAAGTCCAAATCAATGTAATATAACTACTGAGTGCTCTTCGATGTCAGGGCTCTGTGTCTGCTCCAGGGGTTTGCCCTAGGAGGTGGACAGCAGATAGAGAGAGTGATGAAAAAGGCAAGTCCCTGAGAAGCTTTACAACCGGAACTGAACATACATTGTCTAGTTCTGTAACCTACATAGAGCTAAGGTTTTGAAGATGGTATCAGACTTCAACTGCCTTGGCTACAGCCCATGAAAGAATGAGAAAACTGATTCGCTTTATCTACATGTTAAAATATATAAGGAGCTCTGGTAGCATAGTGGTTATGAGTTGGGCTGCTAATCTCATGGCCAGCAATTCGAAATGACCAGCCACTCGGCAGGAGAAAGATGAGGCTTTCTGCTCCCGTAAAGATTCACAGCCTCAGAAACCCTATATAGGGTTGCTGTGAGTCAGAACTGACTCCATGACACATAACCACCACAATCACCAACACCACATGCTAAAATGTGTAGTCCTATTCTTTTCCCTCTCTTCACTTTTCCTCGACAATGGGTTTTGGTAGTGAATGAGAAGTTACTACTTTAACTGTTTTCTTGTCAGACAGGGAACATCAACAATGTCCAATTCTGCATACTGGTATGATTGCTGTTAGGTGCCACTGTACCAGTTCTGACTCATAGCAACGCTATGTTGTTGTTGTTTTTAGGTGTTAGTGTCTAGTCAGTTTTGACTCATAGTGATGCAACACTGCCTGGTCCTGTGTCATCCTCAGAATTGTTGTTATGCTTGAGCCCACTGCTGCTGCCACTGTGTCAATCCTCCATATCCTGCTGACCTTCAACATTGTCATGAATGATGTCCTTCTCCAGGGACTGGTCTCTCCTGAAAACATATGCAAAGTAGGTAAGGCAAAGTTTTGCTATCTTGTTACCAAGGAGCATTCTGGCTGTACCTCTTTCAAGTCAGATTTATTTATTCTTCTGACAGTTCATGGTATGTATATTCAATGTTCTTCACCAATATCATAATTCAAATACATTGATTCTTCACTGGTCTTCCAAAGGAGATTGAAAATAACATAGCCTAGGTCAGGAGCACTGCCATGTATTCAATTGTGACTCCCCAAAATATATGTCCACTTGGCTAGACCATGATTCTTAGTAGTTTGGCAGTTATGTAATGATATTATTTGGGAATTATGAAATGATTTGATCATTCCCCAGGATGTAATCTGACACAATTATCCTCCATTTGTGATGTATTATAAATCCTGCTCTCTACTTTTTATGAGGTCATTTTAATGAGGACTCAATTGTTTGTTATGTTAATAAGATAATGTAACACCCTTACTCAGTTCATAGCCCTAATCTGATGTAAGGGATGTAAGGGAGTTTCCCTGGGGTTTGGCCTTCATCACCATTTATCTTACAAGAGATAAAAGGACAAGAAGTAAGCAGAGAGGAACCTCAGCACTAACATGAAATACCTGGGAGCAGAACATGTCCTTGGA